CTCGAAATTGGAATATGCAAAATAGTTATTTTAATAACTTTAATGGGTATACAATTTGTAAAAAACAAAGATATCGCTGCATATTTTTATACATTGTCTTTTAGAAAACTAAAAAGGAATTTCGAACGAATTATCGAAAATACGAAGCTTCAAATTTAAAGCTAAAAGCTAATTGATTGTAAAAAACCTTATTGACAACGAGTGTCGAAGGTGTCTGAATAATTTATTGAAGGTTCGTGATAAACGGTTATTTTCATCTACTGTTACACAAGAATATAGTTTAAAATATATTTTTATTTTGATGATTTTGAGTTAAGTTTGAAACAATATTAGTATTTTTATCCTTTAATTATTGGAAGAAAAATTGAATCACTAGACAAAATATTTTTTGTTTATGTCCGTTAGTAGTTGAAGGATAAAATAGTGCAAGAATAATATATTATCTGTTTAGCTGCTCTCTTTATGATCTCATCAAAAATTAGCCATCGACTGAGCTTTGACTGCCAAATAAAGAATAAATGGGCCTTGAAATAAATTAATAGAATTCTGAAAAAAAAAATTAGTATCTTTTCTATGTAAAACGTGTTAATGTATCGATCAAACGTGCACGTTTTTACATTACTCACATTACGTATTTTAATGTGTTGATCTCACTATAACTCACTATTACTATAAGCAATGAAGGAATTTCGAATTACATATAATAACACAAATTGAAACGCAGTGTCTTATCGTATTTCAAAACAGATAAATGCATTCACTTTTGAGATAATACAAGAGCGGAAGATAGAAAAAGCTTTACTGATATCTGAATATATATATATATAAGATGTAGCTATAAAAGTAGTACAATCACTTTAGTGTACTCACTCACATATGTGTATGTGATTCAAATATAAAATTTCATAAATATTGTAACTCCAATATTAGAATTTACCATTCGCTCCAGAATTGCCGGGACTCTTAAATGTGTGTATGCCCATCTTTCATTCTTATAATTTTTATATGGGTTATAAATGGTGTGAATAATATGGAATTTCTCGCATTTTACTTTGTTGAATACATCACAAAACAAAATGTTTCGTTTACTTTATTTTCAGAATTGTAAAATGCAGTAATACTTCTGCTTTAAAATATCATTATGTCATATCAAAAAGTTTTATTCGAAATGAAAGAAAAAATGTTTTGGGATTATTTTTATAGATTTGAAAATTGATTTCGCTTCCTATCTCTTTCATTTCTTTCTGTATTTACAATATAACATGAAATTTGAACTTTCATAACTATTGTAACATAATATCTACATTTTTCGTAGATTTCTTTAATCTATAGAACTAATGAGACAATATAAAATCTTACGAAACTTACGCTTGTATTCGTATACCTCACTTTGATACGTTTTTACTTTATTTTCGTTACGTAATGAGCAGTGTTCTTAAAAGGTCTAAAATGAGTGTTTTCCTTTCAAGCTATGGCCTAATGAAGCCTAAAGTACTCATGTTTCTTCCTCCATCACCCCTAAGTTTTGATGTGTTATGTCAGAAGCATATATAACTTAAATTGTCGCATTTTTAAATCATATTTTTACCTTTTTTCGTCTGTTCTATTTTGCTTATATATTACCAGCTAATATATATATATATATACACAGTTAATAACGCATATATAAGGTTCTAGACTTAGACACGTAAATGTTTGTATTGCATTATTTCCTTAAAAGCGAACCCTGTTGTATTTTTCGAGTTCTTTAGGTATTAGTGAAGAGTCTGTAGAAAGACGACATAACAAAAGAAGTCGCGTTCGATAAATCCTATCAAAGACGAACGCTGTCAGAATGCAATCGGAATCCAATTATCTGCCAGAAAATAGCGGAAAGGCGACAGACAAATCCGATTAAGGACCTGCAGGTGTGTTAAGAGAGGTGACAAAACATTGTCATTGGATTCGCCAACGAGGTAAATACTTAGTACCAAGTAATATAATTGCGTTTAAAGAAGAATCCTCTAGGGATTATCATACATTTTCAGTTGTTATTTTCCAAGATTTAGGTTTCTTGTAATAAAGATTGAGGGTGTCTAAACACCAGTTTCTCTGCTTGAGTATTTTTTGTTCTAAATGTGATATCTAAATCTTCCACAATTCTACAATATAAAAATAATATAAGAAAAATTTCAAAAATTAAACTAGAAACAAATTATGTATTAAAACATTTACATCGAAATTTTATTTTCAGTTTTATTAATATTAAGTTCCTGGTGGATAAGCGGGAACTTTATGGACTAACAATACTAAATTGCGGAGTCCGATTCCTCGCGGTGGACACAGCGCAGTTAGCCATCGTGTAGCTTTGCTCTAAAACAGCAACATTAACAGTAAATTGCTAAGATATTATTTGAGCAGACGAATTAGATAAAAACTACCTATATATCCTTCTGTATATAAAGCTAAATTCAAGAAGCTGTAACTAGTATCCTACAGCTGCTCGATTTTTCTAAGTAGATTAAAATTCGAAACAAAATTAGATACAGACTCTCAACTGTTAAATATTGCAAATGTTGAATTAATTAAATGAAATACGAATTTCACTGACTACTTGTAAAAGCCACAAACAAAAGTTTCATAGTATTAAATACTAACATATTATTAGTTATTATTTTAATTAATTAGTGGAAGTTACATACTTTTAATTTTCTTCGTGCAAATGAAGAAAATGCAGGTATCAGATTTATGCTATAAAGGCTTGTCCCAAGAATAATGTTACCCAGTAAATCAATGGTAAGCAAGAAGACTAACAATGTTAGGACCCGAGATTCGATTCCCTGGGGTGGACACAGCGCAGATTGCATATCGTGTATAATATACGATTAAATAAGAATGTTAGAAGTAGGAAAGGAAATTTACCACATATTATGAAATTAAAAAGTACAGTATAAGATTATATTCTGTAGGTAATGTATATTAGTTTCTTTAAAAAACTCAAACCCATAAAATTTGGATTTGATGTTATTTCGAGTGTATTAAAGATAAAATCCAATTTTGGCATATAAAGTAAAAGAAAAGGTTCCGAATTTCGCAGTTATATTTTGTCTACATTTTCACAAAACAGAACAAAAAACACTTAATTATAATTGTCATAAGCCATTAGCATTCAGTTTATTATATTTAATGCTACATTATTTATCAAGCCCTTTTTATAAGATGTTTTACAAAAGCAAAGGAGTGTGTAACAATATTTCAACTACATGATGTCCGACATGATGTGGTTGAAGTACTATTTATTATACACTCTTCTTCTTCTTCTTCTTGAAAAATCCTTAGGGATTAAATAAAGAATGTAGTGTTAAAAATATAATAAGCCTAATACCAATGTTTTATGAGAGTTATAATTAATTGTAATCAAACTTCGCAAACTTAAGAAAGGTGTTCACATCATAGCGACAAAAACACTTGTTATGATGTCAACGGCTTGTGTTTCCAATCTTACGTTTATTAGATGAAAGAGGAATTTATGTTAACATTGCAATTCACGTTAGAGAAAGCCAAACCGAAATCTTACCTTGTAGTCGTTAAAAATATAACAGTCATAAAATGCCGTAGAAATTGCTCTTCCTCATCTGTCTGTCCTCGCTCTAATAGCCTAACTGCTAAATATTGATTTCAATAATTTTGCATATGAATCCTCAGAACTAATGGATATGTTATTTTTTGTTTTCATTTTCAACAAAATTATCCATTTTTGTTGCAGAGCCGGTTTCAAACCATTGCATTACAGGCCTAGCGCGTCTATTTCAAACCACTGTAACCTAAGTTATAATGACTTCGAACCACCATGCTACAGTCCTAGCCTTACCATTCGTATAAATTTTGGCTAATCTACTGACATTGCCCATATGAAAGAAAAGTTTGTACACTGTTTATCTGCGACTACTATTTCAAGAAACAACTTAATTACTTACACACAACAAATTACTATATTAAACTAAACGAATAATAATAATACAATCAGGTTTATTGAGGAAGCTCGGACATTATGGATAAAATTGCACTAATTAACTTGATTTATAAAAGACGTGGAATCTTCGTGATAAGAAAGAAGTCGATGCACTGTGTTAGTTTATCAGAACGACCAACTCTAAAACTAGAGTTAATTCAAAAAAGTAAATTCAAATAACAAATAACACAAAACAAAACATTAAAATTTCATCATTTATCAATATTATGTTTTTATTTTAGGATAAAGAAACTGAGCTAAATTAAAATAGTAATATACATGTTTATCTTTCCACTATAACAGATTCCTCATTTTATTAGAGGGCCCTCTCGTTCTAACACTTTTGCCTCGAGAATAAAATGTACATGGCGTGATATAGATTTTATAAACCCTCATAGAAAGCTGGAAAGATTTTTTCTTCTCTTTTACATTGTCATGCAGACTAACCATGGTGTGATTATATCTATGCTCATAGGGATTCAGAATTATTTATACCTATTTTGTATATGCAATTAAATAGAGTCTTCTATAAAACAGTTTTCTAAAAAGTTACCAAATTATCCTCTTTTATAATAATATTAATAATCATGTTATCAACTACTCTTGAGCTTTCGTGTTATGCAAGTTATCTAGCATATTTGTGACATTAATACATCTGATAGTGAGGGTAGTAGTTAACATGGTTTATATGCATAAAAGAAAAATCTGGTTATGCAATGCTACAATGTTCATTCATAATTATTTTGCAGTTTTTGCTGTATAATATAACGTTTGATATCTGACAAATTTCATTGTTTGATTGTTCTAACTTTTCTGTAGAATAAGCATAATTACATATTTAAATGATAATTACAAGACGCTTCAAAACGTTATGATCAATACTTTATATGTATAAAGGTTATGTTCTGTGAATATAAATTTGCAAACATGCCGTAGCATGGCGCTGAAGGCGAAATATATCGATAGCCGACTCAGTCGAATTCAAGTATACGTAACACAGCAAAATACTACACCTGCACGTTCGATCGTGAGATACTAAGTCGTTTTTTCGGTTCTCTACGAACACTGCCACGGCATAAGTCTTTGTTCAAATCTTCATTACCAGACTCTCTTGAAACACTTGTTACCTCTTCATTGGTCTAAGATTTCTAGTGTACATGGTGTAAATCTACAAGAAAGTTATTATACAACAAGAATTCGTAGCATCGTTGTGAGGGAAATAAAGGAAAGAATCTAGCTCTAGAGATCTGCTTATCAACGAATATAGTAATAGTAAGTGTTATTTATCGTATTAATTACTATATTAAGTCCAGGGTATACTAGAGGACGGATAGGCAAGTTACAAACCCTTCTCTTGATTAGAAAAACAACACAGAATTTATTAATAAAATATATTCTCTCCTTTGTTTACTTTCCATTTTGTTGAATAAATTCTTAAATGTAAAAAAACAATTAAAAGTAATACTTCAAATTTAGCCTCATTATTTCAGGCGCTCATTCCTTGTTCTTTATTACATTTCCTTTATCTTATACTTGTTTATAAATTGAGAAAATAAGACATCTCATAAAAGAAATGTATTCATAAATTATCAGACTTCTCCGTTCTTTCACTTTACGTATTAATATTGTGTCATAGATTGAAAAGTTAAAACTTTAGTATGGTAGAAACGAATGGTCATTTTTAATCCACATAAAACCTATTTTACTTATTACGCCAACGGTAAATATCAAAAATATAAGTGTGATAACCATTATCATTATACTGAGTATGTCTTGTTGTCTTTGACAATTAATTGTAGCATTATAAAGAAACCATATTTCTGTATAAAACCTTGTAAGTAGTAATGAAGTGTTTTCAGTATGTTGAATTTTGTAATGCACGCGATAATAAATAAACAAATGAACGATGAAAGTAAAATAGAAGAATTATGAAGTAGAAGAAAATATAAGTAAAACAATAATAGGAAAGGATGGTCTTTATCTGTTTAAAAAACAGTTGCTAGCATCACTGCCCTTCAATTTACTAATATTTTAGGACAAATTATTATTTAAATGTTGTGTAAAGAACTTAGTTTGTTTTATCAGAAAAACATGTTTTAAAATTTTAAACACAAAAATTTTATGTTCTTTCCCTTTTCTATTACAAAGTAGAATATAAGGTACAGTTCAAGTGCAATATAACATATACAAGTAATAGACTATTGATAATAAAAGATTCTAATCACGATCTTCTTTTTACGGGGGGGGGGGGCTCCTAACGTAACAGTTATCTAACTGAATTCTGTTTATTCTTTCGAAAATATTGAAATGCTTTAATCTAATTATTTTCAACTTGAGTTATCACCTATAAAAGTTGTAAAAATACGGTATTATACCTTGAATAACGTCGGAGTTATTCTTACATTGCATACATGTATACTTTCATTCATATACTTCTGTAAATCTTTCTTATATTATATTTAATAGTTGTATTTATTTGTTCTTAAAATTTAAATAATTATAAGGTAATACGTAAAACAGACATTTCTTGAGCCAAAATTTTAAATAATATTAATGAAACAAGACATAATTTTTACTACTTGCACAATAATATATTTGTAAAGTTTAAAAATATAAGTTAAAAATACTTTAAAAACTCTATATGTTGCAGTGGAAATAATTCCACCATCTTCAGGAGAATAAACCACATAGTACACATGAAGGTTCTTATATAAACCGATGTAGGTTTATAATTAGCATGTTTTTACAGTGGCGTCATTACAACAACAATTTCCAAAAATTTACTTCCATGGTTCCTGAGCCTAAATCTATATTTATATTCATTATATTTTTGACTATTTCTAAAGATTCTTTTATGTTTAGTTCATCTTCTTCCGTTACCTGTTTAAGTATTTTAACATTATCCCAGTCAATAGCATGCGCAGAATTCGCCACATGTTTCACATGATGTTTATAAGAAACTTTATGTGTACTTCGTGGTTTATTTTCCTGAAGATGGTGTAATTATTTCCACTGAAACATGTAGTGTTTTGTAAGTTTTTTGAGCTTATATTTTTAAACTTTACGAATATTTTATTGTGCAAGTAAAAAAACGTTGATGTTTTGTTTGATTGATTTTTATTTAAAACTCAAAGGTATTTAAGTTTTCGTTTTATGCTTACGTATCTCATTTCTACATTTTTGGGGGGTTTTTGTTTATTGGTTAAGAGGTTTAAAGTGTTGGTTCTGCAACATTAAATATCTGTTCAATGCCTATCAAATTATAATAATATCTTTCTTCTTGGATTCAACAATTCATTATCATATAGCGTCAAACAGTTGTTAAAACAGGTCTGGTTTACATAACTGGATATCACTTTTGTAATTCAAGAACAGTGCATTGGTAAAGTATTTATGAAAAGCTGAATTAATATTTATTGGGAGTGGAATGATTTGACTTCTAACTTTCGGAGAGTTTTCATTTTTTGAAGTCATTAGATTAGTCGTATAGTTTTATCCATTTTACAGAAGTTCGTTTTCCTCTCTCATTAGGCATTCATGAATATTATTCACCACTTCTTTATTTATCCTCTATTCTTTGAGTTTCCTCATCCATACTCCAAATATAAAAGAAAAAGCCACTTTGTCCGGATAGTCGGGCAAAGCTACACAAGGGCTACCTGCGTAAACCGTCCTAAATTTTGAACTAATAGTCTAAAGGGAAAACGGCTAGCCAACAAAATCCACTGCCAACAGAATGATAAGAATTCATATGTTTCAAACACCTCATATCTAACAACAATATATAAATATACTTTAAAATTGACAATTACTAAAAAGTGTAAACATTTGAAAATTTTTGAAGATCTTCGAAAAGATTTTTACAGAGAGAACGAAAAAGAAGAAATTCCAAAATATAAGTCATATTTGAATATTCAACACATTTAATGTATTTTTTGTAATATTAAAATACGAAATAAGGGAATTTTTTGTTCATGAAACCTCATTCTGCAGCCATAACAGTTATTAGATCAAATAAACTGTGAATATGATATTATATTTGATAGTTTGAATATGTTAAGTGAGAAAATAACATATAAGACTCAAGTTAGTTAATTGCAAGTGAGAAATATTCTATGAAGGCGTCGTAGTTAACTAATGCCAATTCTAGTGAATAATATTTTAAATTTACGTTGTATATAACGTGCGTAATTCTCGGCAAATTTATGTTTGTAAAGCTAGTAAAATAGTAAATAGTTGTGGGCAGCTGAATTTTCATATTACAAATATCTTTTTATCTTAAAACCAAAACGGCACGTCTACGTAAATCTTACTATCAATATGGAAACTTTAACTCTTACGTCAAGAGAATAATATCTTAAACAAGAGTTTTATGTATAATAAATGTAATATATCATCCTAATAAAGCTTTATGTTTATACGAATTAACATATGAGTGATAGTTAACTTTGTTCTGGTTTGAAATCCGCAAGTTGGTCATCATTAAGTTTACGGATTAATAACGCTAAAATACAAAGCATAGATAGCCCAATGTGTAGTTTTGCGCTAAAACAAACAAATATTCTTTGAAATCGTACGCCTTCTTATTTCAAACAACCAAATATTAAAAAAATAAAGACGATCTATCCTATGAAAACAGGAGTTTATTAACATAGTATTTACACCACAAGATACAATTCAAAATCTACTTAAACAATTATTAAAGATTAGATATGTGAAAAAGAAATGCCGAAAATCTATTGAGTTAATGTTATAAATTCACAACTTATAATTAATAAAGAAAGTAGAAATACCTACGCTTCATAAATGTTTCAATGTATATAATAACAAACATTTGTGAAAACAGTGATGGTATGTTCAATTCCAGGGAATATATACAAATGGGGACAGAACTGAATAACACTTTTTCCTTTCTGGTTTAAAGTATTTCTATTTTAAGATTAATTCTTTTTTAAGAACGTTGGTTAGCGTTTTATGTTTCTATGAAATATTCCAATTCTTCTTAAAATAGAAAATCCTAATAATCGAAATATCTCTACAGTAATTTGAAAATAACTACATAGTAATATTATTAGTTTAATAATACATATTCTATTTGATTTTGTTAACAGTGAATATTATGATAAATATTCCACTATTATATCAATAGTAATCTATTTCTTGAAAATCTCTTGTGACATCAGATACACATATTTTCACTCCATCGGAAAAGTTCTGTTGCAAGGAAACATTTGTATCCTTAAATTTTTAGTTTCGTTTGTTTTAAGCTAAAACTATACGCCTGGAAATGAATCCAAACATGAATTTTTCAATGACCGTTTTCATATTCTATTTACTTAACTGAATTGAAAATACGTAGAATTATGCACGGATTTTTCTGTACGTTAAAATACTTTTATTTGCGAGCTTTCGGCCCTCTTACCGGAGCCGTCATCAGGCAACACTGTACTGAGCGATAAAATTCGTTAAACAGTTCAACGAATTTTATCGCTCAGTATATTGCTGCCCGATGAAGGCTTCGGTAGGAGGGCCTAAAGCTCGTAAATAAAAGTATTTTAAAAATAGAAAAAAAATCCGTGCATAATTTTACATATTAATTTGTATACGTCATGAGTCATGAACTGAAAATACGTTAAAGTTTGCATCATTTATATAAGCTGACTGAATCTTTGACGGAATTGTAATATTCAATTTAACTCTAGGGCTAACGATAGAATGCGTATAAATATGATTTTCTAAATTATTTAAGCACAAATTGCATGTTGATATACATTCAGTGACGTTTTTCGTTACAGAGTCATTAATAACATAAGAGGTACACAAACATACAGGCAATAATGCCAGAAATATTACAATTAATCCCACTAATTACTGCTGTGGTTTATATGTATTTTACACAGAAAATTAATGATTCACTTAATATTACCAGTTCTTTATACCGAGTTTTGTAGCAGGTAAAATGATAAAATTTCTCAGAATATAGTGAACGGTAGGTAAACAAGTCAGTAATTTAAGGGTTAATAAATGCAGGTTTTAGTCGCTTTACTTAAACGTACCGGGCTTATACTTAAGCATTGATTATCGTGTTTATTTTTGTTTGTCTTGTAAGCCTTGTCAACCTATAACATTGCTTTTACGATAGTCGAATAGCTTAGCTATATAATTTAAGAATTCTCCTTTCGTTGTGACGCCAAATTGTAGTTTTATACAACTGGTTTGTTTGATTGGTACATGCTCAACCCAACACAAGTATCTAAACCAGATTTTTAGCG